ATCTTAGCAGTAACTGGCATGTCATGACAAGCAGCCCGTGTTCAGAATACCACAATGACAGGCACTCCCAATATGAAACCACTATTACAAATCACAAAAACAATTTAATGTAAGAACTGAAAAATCCCCAATATTAAATACAATCTCTCCTGTATGCTAAAATTCACACTGGAAACCGAAGTAATTCACAGAGTCCTACTATACCTAGGGTGGCAACTCGTCCCAGTCTCTTAGGGAAAAGCATCCCTGAAGTTCATGCTTCTCCAGCTCCTTGCATAGAGAAACTGGAGAAGGAGGCTTTCTCTCCCATTCATTCCTATGGGCACCAGGGCATCACTACATTTGAATGCCTCCAGTGCTCTATGTTTCTTTGTTTCTGAATTTTGTTATTGCTTTTTTACTTTTCAAAATTAAATTAAAAAAGTATAACCTTTCTACCAATTCCATTTCCTTGTGCCCTGTGTGCGATCATTTTCTTGAGTGACTTACCTCTCAAATTCTACAATTTCATGTGAATGTATTCTCATGCATTATGCTAGTTTTGTTTGCTTTTGAGCTAAAGTGTATGGTAATGTATTAAGTCTTCTACGACTTTATTACGTTTCTGATATAACCATGCTCTACACAGATCAGACTCATAGTGATCCTCCTGTTTTTCAGCTTCCCAACCTCTGGGATTACAGGTGCATGCCACTATACCCAGTCTCAGACATGTCTCAGTGTAGGCTGCAGGCGGAACCAATACAGCAGGGGAGATCAAACCCTGGTCCCTGTGTCTGCCTAAGTAGGCACTTTAATCTGCTGAGCTATCTGGCTAGCCCTGCTTTGGTTTTTGAGACAGATTCTCACTATGTAGTTCAGCTCAGCCTTGCTCTTACTATGTAACCCAGGCTGGCCTTAAACTCTCTGAGATCTTCCTGCCTCAGCCTCTTGAGTACTGGGATTACAGATGTGCACCAACATGCCTGACTGGATATTCATATTTACATAAATCTTTTATTAATGATTTTATTCAGGACTAAGTCACACAATTATTTCCAAAATAGTATTTTTTAATTATATTTTTCTTTAAACATAAATATACAATTTAAATTCCTTTAAGGGCTGAGTAAACTTAAATAAATTGATATACTTTGTCACAGTCTTAGTTACTTAATTCATAAAGTTGGGACAGTATTTTGTACTTCGGTACTAAGGTGTAGGAATCAAATTCATCATCAGTATTAATTCCTCTAAATTTGAAAAATTACAACCAATTAATAATTCTAAACAGTAATGCACTTTAAAGAAATGTTATTTAGTGAATAAACTTACATGTACAACAGACATAAATGCTTCAGATATACTACGTTCTTCTGAAATATAGTTGAAAGCTCTCCAAAGAGCAGCTCCAGTATCATTCCTTCCATCAACGTTATCACCTGAATTAAGAATGAACACAAAGCCAATTCTGGGAAAAAAGATGAATAACAGATGTCACAACTACCTCTTGAAGAATATAAGACTTGATGGACTATACTAGTATATAAAGGAAAAGGGAAGATTACTGAGAAATTTGTAATGTGCATTCATCAAAATTCTCATAGGTATTGGATTCTGGCAAAATGTAAAATAACTTTCAGGTGGTGATATTTTCAAATGATATTTTTCTCAAAAAATGGGCTAAATGTACTCAACATAGTCACCCAGAGATGAGGCCCTACATCAGTTTCCAGAGTGATCAGAGTATTTTCTCAGCAAGCAACAAAGTGCACAGAATGACACATCAATGAGTTTGAGTTTCACATCAATACTCCATATAACACAATTTAAACATCTCTGGATTCCCTTCAGTTCAAAGTTTAATGATACAAATTTACAATTACCTGATTGGAAACTTATGAAGATAGAAAACACCAGCAAGATTTATAAAGTCCAAAGTATATTCTTGAGCAGGATCAATAAACAGAACCTAGAAAAAAACAAATACCTAATCACTAGTTAGAATTTTTATAAAATTTATTATCTGTAGCTTAAAGTATAAAATCGAAGGTATAATTTTTAAAGAAATTCCCAGCAATTCTAAAGAATTCTGAGGAATGTATAAGAATTTCACAATTTATGATGGATTCTAAAAAGTTGTACATGCAAATAGAGCTACACATAAAATCGCTCATCTTTTTAGAAACAGGATAAAGTGCATAGCTTGATTTCAAATGTTTATTGCCTTTTCTA